GAATCTGTGAAATAGATCACACCATGGTTGAACCTGAAGGACATTATTCAGAGTGAAATTACTCAATCATAAATGGACAAACATTATATATGACACCAATGTAAAAAAAGGTTTTCTTGATAAAAGAAACAATCTATGATGGTTATGGGGGTAGGTGGGGAAGAAAAGTATTCATGGGTTAGAAGGTAGACATATGTGAACGTAAGTGACAGGGCTGACAATATACAACAAGAGGAGGTTAGCAGAGGAAAGATAAGGGTAGTGGGAGACACAGGGAGGAACACAATAGCTAAGTGAATAGAGGTAAATGCTGTTAACTGTTGGTATGTGGAGGAGATTGCAACTATGTAATACAGCAAAGTGTATGATTTGTTGAATGTAAAAACTGATGATCTGCTCTGTAAACCTTCACTCAATTCCCAATAAAAAGTTTTAAAAAAGAGGGTGGGATGGAAGACATAATGAAAGCTCTTCTTTATAGACGATTATCTGTAAAAAAAAAAAAAAAAAGTTTTTAAAAAAGTATAAAGGAAGCTAAAAATAGAAACTTAACTGAGTCAAAATTTCCATACTAATTTGATTCTGTTATGAATCACCACTACCTGCAAAACCTGTAGAGAACACAGATGTTAAGAGAATATTCATACTCTGAAAACATCACTCCACAGGTGACTTATTGAATGAAAGAGGAAGAAACAATAATATGGAGACCTCTAGCAGACATCAATGAGCTAATTTAACATTACAAGCAACGGGAGCAAAGCACATCTCTGTCTTCTGATGGAGTCTCCTAAGAACACCATATTCTACAAAACAATTGGCCTAGACTACATTTCTAGTCAGTATAAAACACAAGAAATAAGTTAAAAGTTTGAGAAATGTTGTAAATAAAGAGAAACTGGAAGAAACATGACAAATAAATAATGTAAAATGTGATCCTTAACTGGATTCTAGATCAGTGGGGGCCATCGGGCAGGGAGGTGAGGGTTCGTTATGAAGTGCATAATTGAGACAACTGGAGAAAATTTAATATGGATAGTATATTTGATTGTTCAAACAGAGCGTGGGAACACTGAATGTTTTAAAATTGGGAAAGGTGTGCTACAAGGTTGTGTTCTTTCACCATACTTACTCAACTTGTCTGCTGAGCAAATAATATGAGAAGCTGGGTTCTATGAAGAAAAACGTGGCGTCAGGATTGGAGGAAGACTCATTAACAAACTGTGATATGCAGATGATACAACCTTGCTTGCTGAAAGTGAAGAGGACTTGAAACATTTACTGATGAAGATCAAAGACCACAGCCTTCAGTATGGAT